GGGCACGAATGCACACACACACACACACACACACACACACACACACACACACACACACACAGAAGATATAATAAAAATGTCTAGCCAGTATCGTTGTGTGCACCCTTAATCCTAGCACTCAGGCAAAGGCAGGTAGATCTCAGGGAGTTCAAGGCCAGCCTGGTCTACACATTGAGTTTCCAAGCCACCCTGGGCTACACAGTGAGTCCCTGTTTTAAAAAAATAAATAATTTTTTTCCTAACAAAAAAAAAGAGAAATCTTTTTCAATGTTATTGTCCTAAATTAGGATTAAATGCAGCTGCCTCGAAATGAAAGGCAGAGTTTTCTAGTACTGGAAGCTGCCTACGGAAGGTTGCTCCAGGAGATCTGCTGAGTACATGGAGTTTTCCTGAGACTGGAAACAGTTCTCTGTCTGACTGGGCCCCTGGGCCAGCTCACTGCGACTTATCAGTGTTAGGATCCCGCCCTGCCGCAGAGACTGGCCGATAGGGCACTATCTTCCTGATGACTCTATTTCTAAGACATGGCTGCCAGGTCCCTGGAAAAGAGATTCTTAGTCAGAGGCCAAAGGAAGGTTCACCTTCCCTTCAAAGGGGCAGGGACAGAAACTGAAATTACAAGGCTTTTGTGGGGTTGGCGAGGTGACTCAGTGGTTAAGACTCACGTTTAGGCCGGGAGTGGTGGCTGCGGGGCACTCCTGCAAATCCCAGCACTCGGGAGTCAGAGGCAGGTGGATCTGATTTTGAGGCCAGCCTGGTCTACAGAGTGAGTTCCAGGCCAGCCAGGGCTGTTACACGGAAAACCCCCGTCTCAAAAACAAACAAGCAAACAAAAGAGAGCTCATATTGCTCTTGCAGAGGACCCAAGTTCAGTTCCCAGCTCCCACAACTGCCTGTAACTCTAGCCTCAGGGTATATAGCGCCCTCTTTTGGTCCCCTTCATTATCTACATACACGTGGCTTATGCTCACACCTACAGATAAAAATAAATCTTAAAAAATACAAGGTCAGGCCTGGAGAGATGGTTCAGTGGTTAAGACCACCGGCTGCGCCGGGCGGTGGAGGCGCACGCCTTCAATCCCAGCACTCGGGAGGCAGAGGCAGGTGGATCTCTGTGAGTTTGAGACCAGCCTGGTCTACAAGAGCTAGTTCCAGGACAGCTTCCAAAGCCACAGAGAAACCCTGTCTCAGAAAACCAAAAAACAAACCAGCCCACCGGCTGCTCTTCCAGAGGACCAGGGTTCGATTCCCAGCACCCACATGACAGCTCACAACTGTCTGTAGCTCCAGTTCCAGGGGACCCTTCTGGTCTCCACACACACTGCATGTACACGGTGCAAGCAAACACCCATCCACATTGAATGAATGAATGAATGAATGAATGAATGAAAACAAAACTCCACAAAATCTTGTATGTATATGGAGAGTAGGGAATATGGCAAGCGGGATGTGTTTCTGTGTGTGTGTGTGTGTGTGTGTGTGTGTGTGTGTGTGTGTGTGTGTGTGTGTGTGTATAGCCTGGGAAAGCTTCTGGAGGATGAGTTGGCATTTTGGCATTTTATTTATTATGTTCAGGTCTCTCACTGAGCCTGGAGCTCACTCAGTCAGCTAGGTCAGCCGCTCTGCCAGAGTGGAAAGGATCCCCCTGTGTGCGGCGTGCGTGCGTCTGGCTGTCTGGCG